CGAGGAAATGATTAACGCTAGGTTTACGGAGCACGAAAAACCAGCTGTTTTATATTAGTTTGTAAAGGTAACAATAGGACATTTATCCTGATTTTTATCGTAACGTCTGCCGGAAGTACCGTGTAAATTGACTAAATAACACAAAAATGTATCTTCACGATATGAATAATCGTAGATGAAAAAATTAGCGTCATTTCGACGGGTTCCGTAAATCTAGCGTCGAACACGCCGAGCGCCTATCGTCACGGTTGTGAAAGAAATCGTAGCGCGAGGGATCGAAGACGCGGCTTCGCGTCGCGGGAAAGTGTTTGTTATTGCGTTCTCAACAGTTTTCTAAATATATAGGATTCACAAAGATCGCTCGATTCACCCTCGGCCTTCCAAATGCTTAGTTTTCCGACGCGCTCACGGCTGAAGCAAGACAGACGTGCCTGTGCCGTAAGAGGTTTTTACGAGCGGTATATTCCTCCATTGATAATTTATTCGCCCATTAACATGTGGCTGCCATCACATCGTATTCGCGTCAGTTATTATTCGTCCGGCCTTGAAAATTAATCATTGTATCGCTAGATTAATTGCTTCGATTTTCTTCGAACTTCGTGGCCGCCGAAGTCGATCTTCGAAGTACACGTCGACGATGTGTTTGCGAAGAGACGACCGTACGATCGCCCGTGGCAAATGCTAAGAGACAGAAATCTTCGGCAAAGGTAACAGGCCGATCGAGCGCCGCCAGGTCGTCGTTTCGTAGAATTTGCATTTCTCGCGGCTCGGCTCGTCGAATTCGTCACGGGGCTTGTCAATTTGCTTAGCAAACCGCATTGTCTAGGCGGTGTCAGGCACGTTCGCCGCCACGTTGACCGAATCATTCTCGGCGTTATCATCATCATCATCTTCGGCGGTCCATTCCGCTCTGTTTCGTCCAGTTGACGACCGTGCCATCGGTTCGATCGTCCATTTATCGCACTATTCTATGCTCGAGGGCGACAGTGAATTATACGGTGTCTCCCAAAATTATAGTATTTTCGGGAAACAAGAGGTTCCTGAGGTGATTTCGAGTAACTTTTTCCTCAGCGAAAATGTTCTACGAGGCTTCTTTCACGAGTTATTAACGAAAAACAGTGGCCAATGAGAGGCGAGCTCGGCTGGCGCGAGGCGGAGCCCAGTCAGCGAGCGCACGAAGCCCGGTTACGCCGATTGGCCCGGCCGTCTCGCGTCAGCCGAGCTCGCATCTCGTTGGTCGCTGCTTTTTCGTTAATATCTCATGAACGAAGCCGCGGATCGCATTTTCGCTAAGGAAAAAGTTACTTGAAATGACCTGAGGAATATCATAATTTTCGGACACTCTGTAATATTCCGACCTTGCGCTTGCAAAACTTTCGTTTCCTCCTGCGTGCCGCGAGACAAAACGCAACGGCGTCGGGAGAGACAACACCTGACACTTGACTTCTGCCTTCTGGCTGCCTCTCTCGTCGACAAATGCGTGTACATACTTTCCGCTTGCCGCAACCATGACAACGCAAAAGTCACGGTTTTAGGAGAACGAGTCGGAATGTCCCGAACTGTCACGGTTTCGTGGCAACGTGACATTACGGCGGCGAGATCATCGAGATATTAAACGTTGCGATAATATTAATCGGCATCGCGTATGCTAATTTACCGTTAAAACGTCGCAGTATCGCTGCTCACGTTTACGTTTACGCATGATTTAATTCAGCGCAGCTGAAGCTGCGCCAGCAAAAACCGTAGGTATTTCATTTTTATCTGGACTTGTCTGAGCTACGCATCTCAATCTCATGGAAAATTGTTGGTGCATACGTGCAAAACAAATTTATGCAAGCGGAAAGACATTTCAATAACACAGAAACATCGAGAACTCGCGTTTTAAACGAATAGAAACCACCGAAGGAAAGTGTTATCAAAAAACTGTGCAAGTCGTTACCAAAAAGGATGACAGAAGTTGAAAAAAAGAAAACAAAGATGGTTGTACACGCATTACTAATAAATGAAGAAAAGCTATTTCTCATAATGAGAAATAGCTTTCTCATTCTTACTTATTTTGCTAAAAAAGGACTCCCTGTCTTGTAGGTTTTGTCGCGCCCCTTGTCTTTGAAAGATGTCCGATTGTTCTTGATCTTCGCTTGGATTCCAAACAACAATCTAGTGATTGTAAAAAGTTGTTAGAATACTTTTCACATGTTAGAATTTTCACCAAAATCGTAACACGCCTTGCGAGTTTGTCGCGAAGCCCGGTTATGCAATTGGCGCACGCGTCATCAATCCTGGAAATTAGCATATTACCATTTAGTGATTACTTAATCGTCTCGAAAACGTCGACGATTTTTTAGCATTTCATATTGGACAAGTAATAACACCAGTCGCGTTAGGAAATCAGCGAATCATTGTGGTAACCAGAGGCGGATTTAGATTCTTTCGGTTTAGATTCTGCCGGTGTCTAGGCTAACATATTTTCGCCGCTTTGCAGTTGAAAATAAACGTAATAATAATAATAACTGTATCAGTTATTATTTAATTTTAATTACAGTAGTTTATTCGGCGCATTTTTTAATCTGCCCGTCGTGCCCCGCAGCTTCCATAGCGTCACCTCGAAGATGAGAGCGGATGCCGCGAACCACGTGCTCCACAATGATCGGCAAAAGGTTCGGCACAACTTAAATTTTAATAAAGATTAAAGAATTGACTCTAAATAAGTTCCTTCGCGCGTCGCACGATGGCACCTTTTCCCAAAAAGTAGACCAAAATGCAATTTTGCAATGGAAATTTTCGAAGTACATGTGCAGCAGCGAATGTTGCTGCGGTACACATCGCGACAGTCGTCGAAAGACCAGCTCTAAAAAGGTTCATTCCCCGGCTACCAAAGCACGGCCTCTTGTTACGGAGTCATTTCTGATCCACACCGATATCCTACTAATACACATTTGCGACGCTCCCCCCGCTTTTGCTCGTCATCGCTCCGGCATAATAGCCGGAGGCAGGAATAAGATGTCAACGATGACAACAGAATCGAAAAAATGTTCCCGTTTTTACCGATTTCTAATTATTCAAGTTTAAAATGTCATGGCAGGTACATCAACATCGCGGAACAATGTTAACAAAGATATGTCGAAATTAACGCTAGATTTACGGAGCACGAAACGAAACAGCTGTTTCATGTCAGTTTATAAAAGTAACTAATAAGACATTCATTCTGATTTTTAACAAGTAAGTAACGTATAAATTGAATGAACGCGAATAATGCTTTGAGAAATTCGGACTGAAAGATTTCGTTTCGTTAATAATAGATTTACAAAGCACAAAAAAACAGCTGTTTTATACTACTTTATAAAAGTAACAATAAGACATTTATTCTGATTGCAAACGAGTAAGTAACATATAAATTGAATAAATAACTCATAAATGTATCTTTACGATATGAATAATCGTAAATTAAAAAATTAGCGACCCGTCATTTTGACGGGTTCCGTAAATCTAGCGTGAAAATCGTCCCATTAAATTTTATATCGCAACGATACACGGTTATAGCCGATCACCGAAAAATTACCGATATTCGCAACGAATACGATGAAACGAACGCTTACGGAGGAATATAATTATCATAATATAATTATAATATAATATAATTGTTAATTATTATTATATTATAATTATGTTATAATAATCATATTCCAACGATACACGATTATAACCGATCACCGAAAAATTACCGATATTCGCATCGAATACGATGAAACGAACGCTTATGCAGGAATATAATTATAATATAATATAATTATTAATTATTATTATATTAATTCTTCCTATTAAATTTTATATTCCAACTATACGCGATTTATAGCCGATTACCAAAAAATAATCGACACTCGCAACGAATACGATAAAACGAACGCTTATGCAGGGAATATAATTATAATATAATACAATTGTTAATTATTATCATATTATAATTATATTATAATTATATTCCAACGATACACGATTATAACCGATCACCGAAAAATTACCGATATTCGCATCGAATACGATGAAACGAACGCTTATGCAGGAATATAATTATAATATAATATAATTATTAATTATTATTATATTAATTCTTCCTATTAAATTTTATATTCCAACTATACGCGATTTATAGCCGATTACACCAAAAAATAATCGACACTCGCAACGAATACGATAAAACGAACGCTTACACAGGGAATATAATTATCATAATATAATTATAATATAATATAATTGTTAATTATTATTGTATATTATAATTATATTATAATAATTATATTCCAACGATACACGATTATAGCCGATCACCGAAAAATAACAGACACTCGCAACGAGTACGATAAAACGAACGCTTATGCAGCAATATAATTATCATAATATAATTATAATACAATATAATTGTTAATTATTATTATATTATAATAATTATATTCCAACGATACACGATTTACAGCCGATCACCGAAAAATAACCGACACTCGCAACGAGTACGATAAAACGAAAACGCTTATGCATTAATATAATTATCATAATATAACTATAACATAATATAATCGTCACAAGGGTGCCGATTCTCGAATCGCGCGAAGTTACGAGCCGCGATGGAACGTTTTCGCGAAAATGTACCGTCGTTGCGTAAAACCTGGCCGCAGAGGAAAAGAGAGACGGCCCGGCGTTCCGGCGGAGCTTAGACGAAATAATTAGCCGATATCGGGCAAACCGGCGGGAATAATGATCGTCCGGCGAAGGAACGGCACGGTAACGAAACAAGTTGGGACGGTCGCCGGCATGGTGGGGTTTGGGAGACGCGCGCGGGCCGACATCAAAGGTACGACGACGCCGGCGGATGACGACGCAGGCCACGAGGACGGGACGGGACGGTTTGCTTTCCATTCGGATTCTGTGATTACTTCTCCTGCACGGCAGCAGTCCTTTCCCGTTCGGTCGTGGTATCTCCTTGGTTGCGGCGTGCTCTCATGCAAATAAATCGTGGCCCCCTCCTCCTCGTCGTCGTCGTCGTCCACGGTTTGTCTGTTCCGAGATCGCGCGCCCGTGGCCAAAGCGGCGCGTAGACGTCGTCGTCGCCGATCCGGGAGCGTCCGCGGGCGATTCGGCATCGGTTTTCAACCCCGATCCCGATCAGGGGAACTTCAGTCCTCCGTGGTCCGCGAAACCGTCAGCTCCGTTGGCCCCACCGGGACCAAGAGAACTCTCGCAGCCGGTCACCGCGAATGCATTCGCGTCGTTCACCATTATACGGGAGACATGCTGTACAGTTCTCAGTGACAATCGATAACAGTGACAACACGGGTGTCGTACACGCGATCAACGAAACATGAATTGCTACGGGAAGGTGTTGCTGGTAGCGGCGGTCTGCTTGCTGGGGTGCCGCGCCAGCCCGGCCGTCACGTCGAACCGCGAAGTCATGGTCGAGACCATGCCATTGTACACGGTCCTGAACAATCTGAACCTTCTGAACGGCACGCAGTGTCGCGCCGAGATGCAACAGCTGCGAGACGCCATCGACGCTAACGTCTTTTGGGCCATGAGACGTTAGTAGCCGAATATATTCCCGCTTTCTCCGATTTCCAATCGGACAGTCTCTGTCGCCGATAGATTACCGATAAGCCGTCGTCACTGTCACCGTCGTCGTTGTCGTCGTCGTCGTCGGACCGGCTCTCTCGTGGCACAGGGAAACCCGTATTTCGCCGAGGCGCCAGATCCCGCGGTGATAGGCGAAGTATCGACGAAGAGACGGTCGAAGCGGAGAAAATAGAAAACCTTGCGGAAACTTCGGAGCCAAACGAAACGAGACGGAATGCGCGACGGCCTGTTTCGTAATAGGCTCGTTTCCGTTCCCGTGTACACAGAGAGGCGGTTACGCCGTCGGATAATTCGGCCCGATAACGCGTTCGAACCGCCGCTTGTGCAACGCTCGCGGACGCGGGCCCCGCCGTCTCGCGATTACGCGGCAAGATCCTCCCCGACTTTTCGTAGGGACTTATTATCGTTCGCAGTACCGTAGTTCTCGTCCCGCGAGTAGAAATTGTCGATGTAGAGCAGATTGCTCCAGCAGTGTTTGGGACAATAGTAGCTCGGCTGCTCGTCGATCTCGTGACTCGAGGTCTTAGAGTAGTAAACATAATTCAATATCGCGAGCAGTATCAAACGTGGGCCCCGCGACTCGCGATTACGCGACAAGATCCTTCTCGACTTTTCGTAGGGACCGTCTGTCCTATCGATCGATAGATCGATCGTCGTTTTAATCGCGTTGCGCAAGAAACTATCCGGTCCGCGCCGGTATGATCCGCGGTTTTCACGAGAACAAGGATGCGATGTTGAAACGGTACAAGGCTTTCGCGAACGAGATCGCCACCAGCTCGCTTTTCACGCCATTTTCATGTCATTCTCGGGTCGAAGGAGAATTTCTCTTTCGCAAAAGCCTCGTTGTTCGGCTGTAAAACTTCTCGGCGCCCCGGAAACCGTTTTTCCGGATCGCCTCGATGAAACGCCGAAGTTTCCATGCCATTTTCATATCATTTTCGGATCGACGGAGAATTTCTCTCTCGCAAAAGCCTCGTTTTTCTGCTGTAAAACGTCTGAGCGCCCCGGAAACCGTTTTTCCGGATCGCCTCGACGAAACGCCGACGTTTCCATGCCATTTTCATATCATTTTCGGATCGACGGAGAATTTCTCTCTCGCAAAAGCCTCGTTTTTCTGCTGTAAAACGTCTGAGCGCCCCGGAAACCGTTTTTCCGGATCGCCTCGACGAAACGCCGACGTTTCCATGCCATTTTCATATCATTTTCGGATCGACGGAGAATTTCTCTCTCGCAAAAGCCTCGTTTTTCTGCTGTAAAACGTCTGAGCGCCCCGGAAACCGTTTTTCCGGATCACCTCGGCGAAACGCCGACGTTTCCATGCCATTTCCACGTCATTTTCGGGTCGACGGAGAGTTTCTCTCTCGCAAAAGCCTCGTTGTTCGGCTGTAAAACGTCTGGGCGCCCCGGAAACCGTAGAATTTTCGCTTCGGCGAAACGCCGAGGTTTCCGGACGAGTTTCAACGCGACCACCGAGTTTCGTGATTCGATGTGCTCTCGGATCTCGCGATCGGTTGACAGAGTCGCGGCTGACACCGTTTCGGCGGAACCCTGTCGGTCGTGGATTATAAAGCACATTGTTTGTTTCCGAAGTTCTGGACGTCAGCGGAAGTCCCGGGGCCGGGTTCACGATCGGGAACAACTTCTGGCCGGGCAGTCGGCTGGGGTGCGATTACATCAACGACAAGAGGGTGCTGCCGCTGTCCACGAGATACAAGAAAAATATTTCGATCTATCGGGACCCCGAGACCGAGTTCCCTCCGTTCAAGGTGCAGTACTATGTCGCCAGGTTCCTGCACAACAGCACGTGGCAGTATCATATTGGGATTCACGGCGAGGTAAGGTTAATTATTAGGTAATTAAGTATGAAATGTCCGGTTACCTGAAGCATCATGTTTGGCATCCTGTGTTTCCGATATTTCAGTTCGATCGTTCTTTGTTCTTTTTTCTTTTGCAGTGAGAAGGGATACGTCATCTGGCCTTTAAGACGCGCTATTTTATTTTTAACCCTTTGCGCTTGAAGCCGAATTAACGGGCAATTTTAAACAGCTTCTCCGACCCACGGTTTTTCCACTTTACATGACCTAGTGCATTTTATGCATATGAGATTAAATATTGTGACCAACTGTTACGCTTTCGACGGCTTCTTAAATATAAACAGATTTGATTGATACAATTATTTTGGCACGTGACGTAACAGTTTTTAATGGCGCCAGAGAGTCGCAAAGGGTGCATTCGAGTGCAAAGGGTTATTGTCGGCTGAGGGTTAAATATTCTAAGCCATGGATAAGTCAAAAATTTCCGTTATTTTCGTATATGAGTTCCGTCGTGGAACTAATGCAGCGCAGACAAATCGAAATGTTAATGTGGCTAATGAACGTATAGAGTACGTCGATGGTTTGAAAAATTCCGATCTGGAGATTTTTATATCCAAAATGAACCATGCGGGCGACCTGAGAGCAAGGCCCGAGATATAACGAACCAAACCTATATCAGTTTCAAAATCGGATATTTTATGCTTAATGATCTAATATATCCGGTTTATATAGAACGTTGGAAAAAATTGGTAATATTTGGTCGTTTGCTTCTGTTAGTAGTTGCGAGGGGTGGTGTACGAGTACCAGAAATTTTGGCAGCGAGCCTCGGCTCGGGTTTGCCATTGATCGGCTCGGGTCGGCTCGGGACCCGAAACTTTCGGGTGCCCGAAATTCTGATATGGGATCAGGGAGACATATTTAGACATTTCATTATTTCCTTTCTCTTCATTAGTTTTTCATTAGCTGTTATCTGGCTCAAGTATTTTTCTATAATTTTTTCGGTAATTTTCTCATACAGTAATTTCTCCCGGAAATGCCAAATTTCGGGTTGCTCTGAATTTCCCTGTGCCAGTTCTACGCATATGCAATTTATTGGTACGTCGATGCTAAGGATCGACGGAGTCGACTAAGCGTGTGATGCGGCACGCGACGCGAAGCTACAAGGTACGTGACCGTCGCATCGTGGCATCCAGATTGCCTTCGAATCGTGGCAAAAAAATTAGAAATGAAAAAGTTAGGTCATTGTTTTTCTTCCAGCATCGCTGTGTGTTTATATTAACGTACACCAAGCATGCGGGTCGCTGCCTTTTTTTGCCGACTGTCTCGAGTTTCTATAAAAACGAGGCTCGAAGGATCTTGACTTAGTATTCTTTTATTCTAATTTTTCATTTCCGACCTTCGAACATTTCCGGGAGAAATTACCGTACTTATGTTTCCACGAAATGTCTCGATTTGTAAACACACATATCCGACCCGATTTTAACCCGAAATCTCGGACTCCCGCCCGCCATTAGTATATACATATTAGTATACATTAGTATATATACATATTAGTATACATTAGTATGTACATATATTAGTATATATATTAGTATATATACATATTAGTATACATTAGTATATATATTAGTATATATACATATTAGTATACATTAGTATGTACATATATTAGTATATATATTAGTATATATACATATTAGTATACATTAGTATATACATATCAGCTCTAGCTTTTAGACCAACATTAGTATGTACATATATTAGTATATATATTAGTATATATACATATTAGTATACATTAGTATATACATATCAGCTCTAGCTTTTAGACCATCCTAATTTTTAGTATACNGAGTTTCTATAAAAACGAGGCTCGAAGGATCTTGACTTAGTATTCTTTTATTCTAATTTTTCATTTCCGACCTTCGAACATTTCCGGGAGAAATTACCGTACTTATGTTTCCACGAAATGTCTCGATTTGTAAACACACATATCCGACCCGATTTTAACCCGAAATCTCGGACTCCCGCCCGCCATTAGTATATACATATTAGTATACATTAGTATATATACATATTAGTATACATTAGTATGTACATATATTAGTATATATATTAGTATATATACATATTAGTATACATTAGTATATACATATCAGCTCTAGCTTTTAGACCATCCTAATTTTCAAGGTTTTATAATTATCTGAACATCTATTGGACGGAAAAAATATTTACCGTTTAATTCTGTTGAAATGTTTATACATAACGGGGGAAGCAAACGTAGACATTATTTAAATAATCCCAGAAAATAATACCAGAAACCAATATTATCTTCCATGAAGAGAGCGTAAGATAGGGGAGCCAGTTTGCTGAGGGGCGACCAATTGCCTGCACCTTTGGTTTGTTCTCCGGTATAATTAATTTTACATTTATCGAATAAGACATATTAAATTTTTGCATATTTTGTATTCTTTCATTTCGTTTATTTTTCAATGAAAAAAAAAACGTAATATACTTATTCGATGAATATAAAATAAATTGTACCTGAAAACGAACCAAAGCCGGTTACATCACAGTAACCGGCTCCACTATCCTGCTTTGATTACTTTAATGTTTCCTCACATTGCGTGCGAAATACGCACGCAATATATGCGTGAAACAAAACTTCCTCTAGAAAATCGCTGAAACGGCATTTCTTTTCGTGTAGAATAACGTGGAAATTCTATTTTTGCCGAAGCCTTGCACGTTCGATGTCCCGTTAATTATAGCGTGTGACACGCAAATGATACATTTTGGGAATCGGTGCGTTAGGAGTATTCGAAACAAGGTGTAAAATTCCTGAAAAACGGAGGCCTAATTGGCAGCAGGAAGAAATATTAATGTATCGATCTTTTGCGTTACAACAGCGCGTATCGCAAAAAAAAAAACTGGACATCCTAATCGATACTCATTGCATTAGTCAGCCTCTTACTCGCATGAATACCCCCATCTTCGTGACTAATGTATGCTCATGATGAGTTGCAGAAGTTTTTACGAATAAACTATCACTTAGCCTGCCTGTAAGCTACATCTACAATTTAAAATCCTTCGAAATGAATTTAATATATCGTAATGTGCATAACACTAGACAGCCGGAGCGAGTTAATTTAACTCATTTACCACTTTATTGCTATACGGAAAGACTTGAATAATGTTTTTTAAAACGTATGTTGATTTTTAATAGAATTATGACCAACATACGTTTTAAAAAAGATTATTTGAATTTTTGTATCTATACAAAAACTTAAATAACATATATAATTAATAATATATATTATATATTATTATATGATAATAATATATATATAAGATAAATATATAAATAAATATACAAATAATAAATGAATATATAAATAATAAATAAAGATATAAATAATAAATAAATAATATATATAAGTATATAAATATAGCAATAAAATCGTAAATGAGTCAAACTGATTCGATCCGGCAATCTAATGACAATGATCCAGGTTTACTGGATCAGGTTTACCGATTCGAATGAAGCGAGAACATGTTAAATCGATAGTCCTTCGAAGAATCGAAGACAAGTAAAGAAGGATGTTCTGCAACCCTTAGAGCCCTGGCTCAATCCTCGAGCATCTCGGCTCATTGTCACGTGGTGTTTCAGGATAGAATGGTGCTGGGATTATGCTTGCCATCCACCTGCACCGCGAACGAGTTAAGGCTAATCATAGAGAAGATCTTCCGTGATAGGACACTCCTAATTGGGCAGCTGTACCGCGCGGACTTTATGTTGGTCAAGGTGTCCGATGTGACGAACGATTATCAATGGCTGTTGAGCGGTCCGAAGATGTTAATCATGTGCGTACCCGAACGTAATCGATTACGATAACGATATCCATTAACGATCTCCCGGATCAATTTTGCAAGAATCCGTAACGAGAGTTCCGCCTCCTGATTCGATATGTTACGTTCGTCGTCGTCGTCGTCATCGTCGTCGTCGACGACGAAATCCGCGAGATCTCCGCGTAATCGGTTTCCAAATACATACTCCTCGAGGTTTTCCGTTGCCTGCACGGATCCGCTCGTGCCCGTGACGAAAATGCAAAAGAGTCTTTTAATCTTGCGCAATCCACCGAGAATAATAAATAATATTGACACGCGTCGATCCGTTTGCTCGCAGATTTGTATTGTTGCTTGTCATTGGCCTGGTCGTGTTCGCCACGGTGTACGACGTAATGGTTTACCAAAAACAGCTGTTGAAGAAGAGGGACTTCCTCACGTTCGAGAACAATAACACTGCCGGTGAGCACGAATGCGTCCCTCGATCGCCAGATTCACCAATTTACCCCGCGAATCACGAACCTATTTCCTTCTCGTCAACGCTTGACCAGATAGGACCTAGATATAATATATATAATATAATATTATATTATTATATATATTATATTATATTATATATTATTACATATATTAATATAATATATTAATATAATATAATATAATCTAAATATAATTTAGATGTAATTTAGATATAATTAGATATAATTCCTCGATCCTGTTCGTCGATCCTTCTCGCGCACGACGACAGACAGATCTAAAGGCAATCGAATCGTCGCAGATCTGAAGAACGACGTGGAAGCGAAACACGAGCCGGAAACGGAAAACATCTCGTTGGAGGAGCACAAGCCGCAGAGCACGAAGGAGAAGCTTCTGATATGCTTCTCCGCGTATTCGAACGCGAAGCAGATCTTCAATTTGGAAATTGGAAGGGACTCGGTGCCGGCGCTGCACGGTATCAAGTTCTTGAGCATGTCGTGGATCATTTTCGTGCACGCCGCGTACTTCAGCAACAATTACATGGGTGAGGGAGTCGACGACGATCGGCGGGATTGTTCGACGGCTATATAGCCGGTCGTTGGATCGTTCGGCGCTAACGGGTAGTTCATTGTTGTTTCAGCGAACACGTCGTTGGGCGTGATATACACCGACGAGCTTCTCCTGCAGATAATCAGCAACGCTACGTACTCCGTGGACACGTTCCTCTGCATAAGCGGGTTCCTGATAGGCTTCATATTCATGAAGGTGATGCGCAAGGAAAAACCGGTTCTGAATCCCGGACTGTGCGCGATGCAGATCTCCCTGCAAACCGTCAAACGATTCATTAGGTAAAATTAGGCAGCGAAACCAAAACAGCCGCGGCGTTGGAAAGGGAAAACGGCTTCCTGAACGTCTCTTATCGGTCTTTTCAGACTCACGCCAACGTACCTGACCGTGATACTGCTCGCGATATTGAACTATGATTACTACTCCAAGACCTCGAGTTACCAGATCTACGAGGAGCCGAGCTACTATTGTTCCAAATACTGGTGGCGGAATCTGCTCTACATCAACAATTTCTACTCGTGGGATGAACTGGTACTGCGAACGATAGTATCCGGCGCAAACGGACGCGCGTTGTTCATTTGTCGCCGGACACTTCGCGTTTTATTCGAAAGCCTGAGGAGCGCGACGATTCGCACGGCGTCTGTTCTTGTTTCAGTGCCTCAGCTGGAGCTGGTACGTGGCCAACGACATGCAGTTCTTCGTGTTCGCCACAATTCTGCTGATGCTGTACATCTGGTAAGCGATTCTCTTCTGCTTGCTGTATCCGTGAGCTCGAAACTTGAATGATCTTGAACTTTCGACGAATTGTTCCAGGCGATCCTACGTCGCTCTCGTTTTGGGCAGTCTAACGTTGCTCGTCTGTATAGTAACGAGCGGGTATACGGCGTACGCCCTCGATTATGTTCCTTCGTAAGTATCCGGGGTATCCTCTCGCTCGGCAGTCGATCTTCCTTCTGACCAACCGTGTTCTTCCAATTGCTTCTCTTCAGGGTAGACGCTGTGCACAGGACGCTGACAGAATTGTACATTCGTCCTTGGCTCAGGATCGGACCGTTCCTTATAGGAATAGCCACCGCGCTCATCATCGATAAGTTGAACTACAAAGTGCAGCTTTCGACGGTAAACAATGGATATTATGCTCCATTTTTCTCTCCGATATAATTTCGCGCGGGTTCCGTGAGATATCGAAGGTCCGCCGGGATCAGTAAACGTTCGGTAATCGTCGGTATGCAAATTTATTAAAATCATTATTAAGATTAATATTGACAATTCAGAGGGACCGAACGATCGGTTGGACTCTCAGCATTCTGTGCAACTGCGGGATCCTTTTCACCGGAGTGAAAAGAGATCTGCCGATCTACGGAAGCGTTATCTACACCTCATTGTCCAGAACATTTTGGGGCATCGGCATAGCGTGGCTGACGTTCGCGTGCGTCACGAACAACGGAGGTAATTCGAATGCTTGCTCGTTCAATAACAGAAGGTTCGTTCGATCCTCTAGCTCTTTGCTTCTCGCAGGTATCGTGAACAAGATCCTGTCGTTCAAGCTGTTCATACCATTGAGCAGGCTCACGTTCTGCGCTTACCTCGCGAACCCGTTCATCATCAGCTCGGTGAACTTGAACAATAAGTATCCGCATTACTTCGATATACTATCAACGGTAAATTGCAACATTTTCAGTTGACCGAACCACAACTAATCGAACGGACCAACGGTTAACGTCTCGTTTCCTTTTCTTTTCTTAGGGTAACATGGCCATCGGAATGATAGTGATCACATACATCTGCAGCACGGTTCTCTCGTTGATCGCGGAGGCGCCTGCCATAAATCTGTTGAGGATTCTGTCGAATCAGAAAATGATGAAATGAGTACGTACACGAGACGCTACTAGCTCGGCCAACATTGGCGAGCCGGAAACCAGGTTTCCGAAAGTTACATGTCGAAACGCAAACCGGGGAATGCACAACGCGTGTATCGACTGACCCGATGGTCTCTTTTTCTCCAGGAGTCCGCGTGTTTCCTACATTCCACGATCAATTGGGAAGGAGGACAGGCCCGTAGACAGTGAATTTGCGCAACATTCGTAAACGTCTTGCGTTCCCTTTCTTTCTCCTTTATCAACGAGCGTAATATACACAGCGATTGCGAAGTTCTTTTAGTCGAACGGTGCCCGCCGCTGGCTCCGGCGAGGGGAGCGAGAAGGAAGCATTTGAGAGGCACGTTTTACAATAACTACAAATCGTTAGAGGACGGGTGAAGTCAACTATGAGTGAACCGGGGAATGCAGTCTGGGTGGCGCCGGCGAAGTCAGCGATCGGTTCGCGCGGGAAGCTTGCTCGCGCCGACCCTCCTCGAGCTGTTTCTCCAGTTGCTCGTTCAAGACTAGAAGTTCCCTCGTTCGTTGATAAACGGGATCCTATGAGGCAGGAGGATAATACGATACAAATTTAAGAACGAAAAAAAAAAACTCTAGATCATAGTACAAAATTTGACAAAATCGAATCATTGTAAATAAACGAAATCTCTTTTAAGTTTTACGAACCTGTTGTCGCATACTAGGATTCCATCTGCAGTACACGCTCTTCCAGGGCCTTATGTACCTCATGCTAGCTATCGGCAGCAGAACCGGTTGGTAGGTCGGCTGTGACCAGTACAGGGGGTTTTGATACAGTGATAATTGACTGTTTGTGTACGACCACAACGAGACGGTTTTCTGCTTTACTTGAGCCTGTACCCTCTCGCGTTCGCTGTGAACGTTATGGCAATGATCAGCGTTTGGTCCTATATAAGTTCGTTGTTCCTACCGTTGCATACAGTCGCGCGCAACACCTGCCTGCTGTATAAAAACGTGCCGAATCTGCAGGAGTACAGATGGTCGAGTATAGTGATAAGAAAATGTTCGTTGAACTCCAACGCGTTCGGCAACTGACGGCTGATTTGCCACACGCAGTCCATGAACTGCAAGAACACCGGGGACCTGTCCGCGTCGCTGTGGTGCTCGTCGCCGTGGCCGATCCTCTGAAGACAACGTCCTCGCGATTAGAACACATCACACGAGTCGAATTAAAGCTTTGATAAATTTATTGGCGATTCGGTCTGTTCGCACCTGTTGGAATTTGTGGCCGAAACTCAGCCACTCCTTTTCTATAAGAACCTCAAAACCTTTGATAGTTCTGTAATACGGATCTAACATTAACATGGCAAGAGCTGTGAGCTGCAAACATTGACAAACATTAAACTACACGTATCTTATATCCGGCAATTACGTGATACGTTGTAATTACCTGCGCCGTTCTGTCCCAGCCGTCGGAACAGTGCACCAGCACCGACGTCTTGTGATTGTCGACTTTGTCCACTATCTTCAGCGCTCCTGCGAGCACGTACTTGATATGTTTCAGCCAAACGGTGGATTCTATTCCCGACAACCATCTCGCTTCATCGATCTTTGGAAAGCATAATTCTGAAAGGTAATTAAGATCAATGGTAGGGTCGTCGTCGTCGTGGACGCGCGAGCTCGGTCGGAGTCATAAATTTGGTTAATTGCGCTAGTAATTCCCGCCGTCCATGCCAGACGATCATTTAGAACACGAACGAATACCTTTCACTTTTCTAAGGCTTTCCCTCATCACGTGAATATTAGGAATGTCTAAAAACACTAGCTCCGCGTTCTGATAAGCGTCTTCGTTCTCATAGCCTCCACCCTTCGCCTTATTCGCCACCGCGTTAGGCATCGGCCGAGCGTCCATAATAAATAATTTGTGACTCTGCGCGTTTGCGTCCATGATCAGTTGTACGTATCTTTCGTCCTCGCGACTCCTTTTGCCACCTACGCCCACCAGTGGCTGGGCACAACGGGTGATCGTTGCCTGACTCTCCGGATGAATCCACGACAGCACCGGAAGTCTTCCTTTGCTCCTGAAGGCCGCGGATGCTTGTAGATCTTCATCGGTCGCCGCCGTAGGCACTGCCCACACCGCTGGGTAGCTGTCGCATATAGAGTACGTGTCGTTGATCTTTGATATTTTCCACATATCATTGTTCACGCCCTAGAAATGATACTCTTCGATTAGTTGCTGATGCGGGTGAAGCGTTATGATTGTTTGCCAACACAGTTACCATTCTCTTCAACTCTGCTATGGGCTCGTACACGTTCCAGCCGTTCTCGGGGAACGTTTCAGAGTATTCGAAGGCAAATAACGGTAGCTTATGAGACAACGGGAATGAATACTGTTGGAGCTTCTCGAAAACATCTCTTCGCGAATGATTCTCCTGCTTGTGAGCAAATCTGAGATTCCGCATGTCCTTGCAGAACGCTTCGATTCCATAGGAATTCTCTCTCCTGCTAGACGCTCCGCCGACCTTCTCGATTCTGCTTACCACACCCAGAGGCACTTCAACGACATACGGTGTTTCGCGGTCGGTGCTTCGAAAGTGGAGCTTGTAATTTGTGACGCTAAGAATTCCTCTAGCTGGTCCTGAATAGGGGCACAGATATGTTACCTCGTGAGCTATGCCCTGCATCCTTTCTCCGTTCAGGAGTGTAGGACCTGCATCTCCACTAGACAAATTCTGCAAAGGTAGATTCAAATGTTAATATTTAGATCGTTCGTTTCACTTGGTTATACAGATTGAATTCTACAAAACAGGATAGCTAAATATTTCTGCTACTACTAAAGGTAGAAGAAGTTATCGTCAAGGTTTTTTTAAAGATTGTCTTTGATATTTTATTCTATCTTCGATAGTAACTAGAATATTCAGGTGTTTTGCGGGACTCATTCTATACGTTCTTAAGTAAAGTAAAAGTGGAAAACAGAATCTTGAAATAAAAGGACAAAGCATATCAAATCGGTGAAATAAATTCTAGCGGCACAAAAGTTGTTGAAATAAAAATTAAAGCTACATTGATTTTGCGCGTCTCGGACCAACTCACTTTCACTTGATTCTCTTTTCTAGTTTCTAAAGCAGAAACAATATTATTATCTGTTGAAGTAGAGCTTGAGGAAAAACTTTTGGAATGAGATGCTTTTTCCCAGCTTTCCTAAAGAAGGTGGAATCTTTGCATAGTTAGATCGACAGAGAGGCATGTTAGTAAAAGACCCAGTTTGGTTATATGAATTGTTGCGTTACCGATTCTTGACCCATTTTGGAATTGAGCGAGCTGCTCTTACTATCTGAGTTAAGGGAATCTGAGCTAGCATTTTTAGAATTGTTTTGCTCCACGTTCAAGAGCTCTGCGCTTCCTCTTTTCTCCATGTTCGCTGTTCCAGTACCTCTTTATTCAGTCATTTGTAATGGAACAGTATTAATTTCTTGCAATTTTTATTGCTACATCTGAAAACATAGAACTTCTTAAAACCTAGGAACTGGAAAACGTGGAATCGGAGTTCTGCATAATTTATGCGATTCACTTTTATTCGAACCGCTTAACCTCAAAATCGTAAAAACATTGTAGACTACATAAATCGTAATTTAAGATAGAAATGAACGAAATACGGTTGCAGAAGCATTGAAAAATGTTTCGAAGATATCAAGAAAATTTACAATGTAATGTAATAATTGTTTATAAAGAGTCTATTTGCAACGAATCCTGCCACGCCCAGAAATATTACAAGCAACATATTTATACGCCGGAAAATTAGTAAATTTATATAGTGTACAATAGTGTTTTTATACGAGCAATAACCCAGTACACCAACCTCGATTATATGCTATTAATTAAAGTACTCGGTTACGTTCGATAGAGTCAGTGTAACTTTTGTTTGACAGCCATAGTCTCCGGCTTTATTCTGCGGAAGCTCGATCAATAAATATGAAAAGCCGACGGAGTTCAAATCGAGTTCACCTGTAGCGCTGCCAGGGCCGAAACTCGAGACTGCATTAATATCGTAATTATTAAATCAACTTCAATCTTCGATTCTCTTGTAATAATTGAGTTTATTATTAAATATTTACGCAACAGCTGCAATCTATAAGTTGTCATATTAGTGTGCCGAAAACGCGGGGCATGGATGTTTATATCCGCTCTCGTATAAATAAACTTAAAGAAAAATACGTATTATGAAACTTACGTTAATAAATACATATTACGGATAAAAATTTATCGACGTCTGACTTTTGCGACTTTACGGATTCAGCAGGTGTACAGATGCTGTACAGATTTCGTTACATAAATTACGTTACAGTAATGCCTCACCGTAGTAAACCGATGCGGGGGCAACCGGCATACTATTATAAAGCAGGTATAGAAACTGCTCTTCTTCTCTGATTGGTTGACGCTTCGCAGCTAAACAGTGCTGCCTCCACAGTTTTAGACGAAGAGAGGAAGTGGCGGGTGAACAAGAGAGCGAAACAAGTTTGTTTGGCGCTTCATCCGAGACACTTGGTGCGATATTCGACTTGTACTTTTCGCCCCGTACGTATTTGAGAACATCTTGAAACGGCAATCATTTGTACAATTATCAACACCCTCGACAACTCGTAAGCTACGTTTTACCTAATGGTTTCTACTTTATGAATCTACAAAATGTTGTTAATTCACCCATTCCAGTACTTGTTAACTGGGGCAGCAAGCAATCATTTTATAGCATTGTTGCTGTTAAAAATTTGAAAAACAAAGCTGAAGCTTGCATTCATATTCTTTTAGAAAAACTATGCATATTGCAATTATTATTCTATTTTACAATCGTTTTATAACAATGAAAAGGTGTCAGAACGAAACCGGTATTCGTTGTGTCTCTCGTACAACGAGGACTTACTTAATTAATAATAAGAAATATGTACGCAGAGTGATTGCTCTGCATCTTCGCACTATGTAAATAAGAACAGCGCCACTAGATATAGCGGTGAAATAACGTACTTACTTGCCGAATTATCGACAGCGGTTATTTATTCGAAACGGCAGATGGCGCCACTATGCACTTCCCAAGATCTTTTTACTCTGCCGATAAATTTGTATAACAGTTTGAGCGTTTTGCCACTGCGCGAATTGGCGCTGTACAGACCCTTTAATTTTAGTTGAAAATTTCACCACAGGCGACACCACTCGTCACAAATGGCGCTATTTTCAAACTTGCATTCTCTTCTTATATTTCCGACAGTCGATAATCTTTTGGTAAACGATATTAGATGTAAATAGAGTCTCTTGGACATTTTTGCACCCTTAGAATATTCTATTCTCGTATAATATATGTAATATATAATTTTACGAGTATTTTACCTTAATATAATATAATTAAAATATAATTATGGTAAAATAAAATTAATATTATTATATTAATATAATTATAATATATTTACCTTAATATAAATATATATAATATATATAATATATAATCTTACGAGTACTTTACCTTAAGGAAATCAGGGGGAAGGGCAGTAATCGACAAGCTGTGTGTTAGGGCATTATAATTTATTTGAGATTTTATAATAATTAAAATAATAATGCGGTAATTATTAATATTGGTAGCAGTCTACTAAGTTCCTAAGAAAGCGACGGTGTATAGACGTTATTGTTTTACATAAATTAAAATAACGATCGACTTTCTTTTTGCGCGCCAGTCCGTGGCGTCTGTCCACGTGTATACTTACACATGCGCGAACCGAACGCGGGAAATAAGAGAACAACACTTGGGCGGTTCCCATTTCCACGACGTCATCTTTGTATGTTTTTTCACTCTTTCGTTTTCATAGTAGACTTTTAATATATATATATATTTATATATATTTCATATATATATATTTTTTATATGCATTTTTATTTATACGTATATGCATTTATAAGCGCGCAAATATATTATGCACGAGATCTGTTGGTGGCTGTTACATGCAGCCTTGCAGGAACATAAAACTCGATTCTCTATCGTTAAAATTTATTATCCTCGGTAAACGCGACTTATCTACACAAATAATCTTCCCATCGTTTCATTCATCGAGGAGCGCGCTTAACGTTAATTAATGGAAAATATTACATGGATCCTTTCGCTTTTTTTTGTTTGTTTGTTTTATTTACAAAAGAACTTTCGCCGGTGTGTTTTTTTTCCTCTTCTTTTTAGCTCCGCTCCTAAATACAATATATACGTATTTCTCGTCCGTGTTATATATATATATATATATTTATATATATATAGTGTAAGACAGGGGATTGTCGATAGTTTTTTCTTGTACCCTTTTCCGTTCGAGGAACGCGCGCGGATTCGCGCGCACGATTCAGAGACAACGGCGGAGGAGAGAACGCGTTAAAAAAAAAGGCGAAGGGAAGAGAAACCCTCGTCTCGAACGGAACGCGGAAATTGAAAAAGCTTCTATCGTAGTTCGAAGAGTAAATAAAACAGGTACCCGCGTAAGAGGGACGAGGAGAAGAGAACAAGTTCGAGAGGGAGAAAGAAAGAAAGAGGGTGCGCGAGGGTGCAGATTAGACTCTCCCGTCCCAGACGGCGCGGGAAAAGACGTCAGTGGACGCGTGCGATTATCCTGCGTAACGCGTCTCTCGCTTGTCTACTCGAGAGAATTTCCTGTTTATCAAACAGCATCCGATACGATGTATGTTATGTATGTATAGACAGATCGAAAAATATTACACGCCGCGAAGTGTTGGCTCGCGTGTCTCGCGCACGATTCTGATTGCACCGGAATGGAACTCTATTATTTTTTCACCTCCCCCACCCACTGGTACATCCCGACAGGACAAAATTGCCGTCGGATGGCCAGAGAAACGCGTCGCGCGCATCGATCGTCTCGATCGCGATCCTTGCTGCGCGATCCGTCGATCGTTCCGGCCGGAACAATTACGTAACAGAATATATTCGTCGAGCCGAAAACGCTCCGATCGTCGCTCCGAAACGAGAGTTTGTACCCTCTTCGATCTCCGAACGGCGAGGAGAGAGCGTTCGCTCGAGTCATATCTCGATATGGTACAAAATCTCGATTGTCCCGGCCGGACGGATCGACGGACGCGGGGACGCGTTCCCTCCGTAACGTCGCGCCGCGGCCGATTGTTCGACGCTGGAGAAAGGGGAGGCGCCGCCTCGCGTCGACGACGATTCGAGGGGCGGCGCGCGACGCTACGGAGGGAGCGCGAGATCGGCGGGCGTGCCGCAACGGAGTCCGAGAATAGAAAAGCGACGACGGGCGCATGTATCGTTGATCGACGTGGTAGCCCCAAGATCGGTGCTCGATTCGCGGCGCGCGTTCGTCGAACCTTGAAGAAGAGAGGACGCGACGCGAAGAGACGATCGGACCACCCCGGCGATTCGACGCGTCGGGAGGAGGTTGATGAAACGCGCTGACGCGACGCTCGTCCGCGCGGAGAAAAAGGCTGACGCGACTCGCAGAGCGGTTCTACGGCTACGATGACGCTCGATCGGCTCCGTGTATGTATAGCGTTTACAAAAATTGAGCTGAGAGGCCTGTTCGCGATGCGATCACATGTGGTTAGTAAAGTAACGCGGCGAACAGTTGAAAGGTGTCGCGTCGTGGTCTTCCCTCGTATCCCTGCCTGTTCCGAAAACGAATGTACAACGATATATGTGTGCCTGTATATATTATATATATTATATTTAATATAATCATGTATTAAATATAATAATATATATTATTATTTAATGTAATAATATATTAAATATAATAATATATATATTATAATATATTATATATAATAATATATATTATTATGTTTAATGTATTATTATATACATTATTATATTTATATATTTATATATTACATATTTAACATAATAATATATTATAAATATTATATTATATTATATCAATATATGATATATTATAAATAATATAAATATAATAATATATTATATTATATTATATTAATATATAATATATTATAAATAATATAAATATAACAATATATTATATTAATATATAATATATCATAAACAATATAAATATAATAATATATGATATACAATACATCTTGCAACACATCTTATATATGTATATATAATATATCTTGGTGCAGTTCGGACAATAAAGCGATCAAAGCGTCGATCAACCGATTTCCGTGAGTGAAACACGGTGGTAATTGACGAAAGGGAACCATCCAAGGGCGAAAACGGTGCGTGTGACGCGCGCGTGTCGTGTAGCTGCTCGAAAACGGCCTGGCTGGATGTGTCCCACGCCTTCCCCGAACAACGAAAGAACAGAGAACAGGAGGAGGAGAGAAAGAGAGAAAACGAGAGGGAGAGAGAGGGAGAGTGGAGAGATAGGGATGAGAGAAGAGGCAGGAGAAAGTGTTAGAGATACGGTGGAACGAGAGGATTCGCTCGATTTATTACGTTCCCGCCGAGGGAACTCGATGGAATCGGTGATTGTATACGACCCCGACGACACGGTTCCGTGGCAGAGTTACACGCTCGCGCGGTACGGCGCCGGACGACGGGAGAACGGCGACGGACAATCGCGAGACGATCGGCAAGATCCCGAGGATCGTCCCTCCCCTCCCAACCCTTCACGGTTCACCCGGTTCACCCGGTCCACCGGGTTCGCCCCGGCAATTTTCCACGACCAGCCTCTCGCCCCCGCGACCCCGCGCCGCGCTTCCTCGTCCCGCCCGAACCGTCCCGTTCGCGGCGATAATTAATTATCGGCCGAACGGTCCCGATCGCGCGGAGTCCGCTAATTAAACCCTAGACAACCTGGTCGTGTTGCTATAAAATCATTTATATATATCACAAGTGTTGGAAATTGTCGACGCGCGACGTTCTCTAATTTTCATTCTCGAGACACTACAGTAAATATCACATGGAGCGATGAGAATTTCAATTAAAATACACCACACACCGCCGCGCCGGCGATCCGGCCGCGTCGGAACATCGCGATTCGATTTCCCTCTCCCTCCCCTCCGGTTGGAACGCGCGGATAGCCCGCGCGCGCGCGCGCTGCTGCACGGAGGAAGAAAATACATACACAGACGCGCCGGGGCGATCGTACGCGCGATCGACCGGCCGAGAGAGAGAGAGAGAAAGAGAAAGAGAGAGAGAGAGAGAGAGAGAGAGAGAAAAGAAAGAAAGAAACGAGAAAGTAAAAGTATGTATAACATCTACACGGATATACTTTCGAAGAAGGAGGTACACATTGTTCAGGCGTAAGACTGGTCGAAAGATATTGCGATCTTGTTCCCCTTCTCGACCCAGGTCCTCAGGCGTCCCCTCAGCTCCTCCAGGCTTTTCGACTTCGCTTTGTTTATCCTCTTGTACTTCACGTCTTTTGGCTTCGTGACCGATCGGTGATTGCTCATTACCCTGTTGTACGTGACCTGCGAACCGCCACCAAACAACGTGATACATTATGACCGCCTCGTTGATCTTTCCTGTCGGGTCCTGCCCGACTCCGGATCGATCTGCCCCCCTCGGCCCCTCCCGCCCTCCCTCCGACGTCGGGAATTTTCTTTCGTACCGAACCGTGCGTCAACCGGACGAGTTGCGAAAATAATGACGTGGAGCAAACCTCTCGAATTAGGACGGGACTAGTTTCGCCGCGAGACGACGGACCGAGAGATACGAGATATCAAAAATTGCAGATGCACCGCGACGTCGGCGAACTAAAAAATCGACCGAGAATCGAATCGTTCGTAATTTATGAATCGCATCGAATTTATTTTTTAATTTAATCGGTGACTTAAACCTTTCTGTGTGTGTATATAGGGTGCCCTGTAATTATGGTACTTTCGGGGAACTAGTAGATTCCTGAGGTGATTCGAAGCAACTTTTTCCTTTGCGAAAATGTTCTCCGAGGCATCGTTTACGAGTTATTAACGAAAACATTAGTGACCAATGAGAGGCGAGCTCGGCTGGCGCGAGGCGGCCCAGCCGACAAGCGCACGAGGCCCGGTGCCGCTCATTGGCTCGGTCACCTAGCGCCAGGCGAGCTCTTGCCTCTGATTGGTCACTGTTTTTCGTTAATAACTCGTAAACGAAGCTGCGGATTGCATTTTTGCTAAGGAAAAAGTTACTTCAATTCAGTTACTTCGTGTCACGTGGCTTTCGAATTGCCACCGAATTGCTTTCGATTCGTGTCACATGGCCTCCGAATTGTCTTGAAATAGTGGCATGTTGTCTCCGAATTGTCTTCGGATCGTGCCATCTGGCCTCCGAATTGCCTTCGAATCGCGTCACGTGGCCTCTGATTTGTCTTCGAATCGTGTCATCTGACCTCCGAATTGCCTTCGAATCGTGTCACGTGACCTCTGAATTGCCTTCGAATCGTGTCACGTAGCCTCCGAATTGCTTTAGAATTGTTTTCGAATCGTGTCACGAGGCCTTCGAATTGCCTTCGAATCGTGTCATCTCTCCTTCGAATTGCCTTCGAATCGCGTCACGTGGTCTCCGAATTGCCTTCGAATCGTGCCACGTGGCCTCCGAATCGCCTTCGAGTCGTGGCAAACAATTAGAAATAAAAAAGTCTCGGCTCCGCTGGTTTCAATCCCTGACCTCCTTACATTTCTCAGAAAAATTACTGCGCCGAAATACTTCGAACATTAAAACCTAGTGCATTCTTATTTATCGCTGAATTACATTATCCGACGAAACGATTCCTATCCAAAACAATCGATCTCGACAATGGAAACGAAGCATCGGAAAATTCGGTCGTCCGCGTGCTACGTAAACTAACCGCACATTATGAAAAAAGAAAAAGAACAGTGATTTATACCACGAATTCGATGTTCGCCGCGTCGCGTTGTATTTAGAAGAAAATTCCCGGTATCGGACGGAGAGATTCGGTCCATTGAAAATGAATCGAAACGGAGAGATTCGATCGAGCCTTTATTTTTACGGGGCAGCAACCCTTTGTTTATCCGAGGGAACAACACGCTCGCCGAAAGAAAATCTCTCTCACCTGCGCCTGCTGGCTCTCGTCCCTTGGCCTCTCGCTCGGCGGAGAATCCGCTTCTTGGGCGAGTCTCTCGAAGCTGCCGTAGAGATCCTGCAGCCTTCCTTTGCCGTTTCCCAAGTGTTTCGAGCGCCGGTCCTCGCACTCGGAGTTCTCGGTGGACTCGGACGGGTCCTGATTGTTCTCGCTGTCCCCGTCCTCCTCGACCGAGTAGACGGTCTCCAGTATCTCCGGTCGCCTTAAGAATCCGTTGCATCGTCGCATCGACGAGTACTTGCTGGATGGCTCGACCGCGTCCGATACCGATCGAATCACTGTCACGTCGGTGATGTTCGAGCGGAACCTGCAACACGGACGAACAGGCGTCCACAGAGGGGATCAGACGGTTTGCCGGCACCGGTTCGACGCATTCTTCGAACACGTGGCCGTTCTATTCGCGCAACGCGATCTCGAATTCACCGGGAAATAATGTCCGCCTCGGACCGATTCCGAATCTACTCCTCGCTTCTTCGCGCAGCGATGAAAGCGGCTTCGAAATTAACCCTTTGCGCTCGAAGCCAAATTAACGAAAATATATATTATTATATTATAATTATTGTTAATATATATTATTAATATAATATATAATTATAATATATTATTAATATATTAATTATAATTATTATAATATATATTAATTAACGAAAAAAAAATATGTATATTATATAATAATATATTATAATTATATATTAATAATTATAATATTGTATATAATTATATATTATAATCATATAAAATTTAATATATATATTAAATTTTATATATATATAAAGCAGCTTCGAAATTAACCCTTTGCGCTCGAAGCCAAACTAACGAAAAATTTCAAACAGCTTTTCTGACCCATGCTACTTCCATTTTATATAACCTAATGCATTTTATACGTATTGAAGTGAATTTTCTGACTTATGCAACAGTTACGCATCCAACAGTTCTTTAAATGTAAACAAACTAGATTGATAAAATTATTTAGAAACGTGACGTAACAATTTTTAATGGTCCCGTGGGGTCGCTGCTCGAGTGCAAAGAGTTAAATCGTCGCGGTAGCGAAGTTTTTGGAATTTATGGAGACGACGATGTTTCCCGTTGAATAAAGATGATCGCGGTTTTACGAGGTATACGGGGGTAGAAGGAAATTAGCGTGAGTGTAGGTATTACCGTGGTTTCTGAAGGCGAACTTTGACGGAGAAAGTAAGACTTTTTACGCCAATAAATTGACAACTCGAGCTATTCCTACTATTATTTAAATTGAACACTTATTTTTTATCAAACTACTGCATCTCTGGGAGCAGAAATTTCGTTAAAAAGCGTAATGCGAAGTGGTAACGTTAAGGTACGCAGTTAAGCGGTAAAGCACCGCGGTTATGTACGCATGTGGTGTAAAAGCTGTGCGCCGAATACTGTGTTAGTAAATAATATTTAAGAACAGATAATAGTAACGGCGCATGTGAATTTTTTTATCAAAGTAACGTTTACTTCATCCAAAAATAAATTACTTTCTCTAAAGTGAATGGTTTATTATTAATTGCCAAAATATATATATATATATATATAAATGCCTTTCGAAAAGTCGATAAATGAATTAAAATGCGATTGCTGTTACTTGTACGTGTCATAAATTATCAATATTAAACATGTAACAAATTACGAGATTCGTTTTTAGAAGATCGCGTACCATAAAACGTTAAATTTTATTACTTTCATAAAAAAATACCGCAGTATCTGGAGCGACCGCGGTAATACCAACATACACACCCTATACCGCAGCAAAATAACCTCGGAATCGTTGAAGATTTATTCGCAACAATCTACCCCAGAATTCAGCTCGATCATGACATTCAAAGTCGATTTGTCCACAGCGATTCGTTAACCGTTGCATATTTACAACAGCCGTTTGCGTCGGCGTACTTTGAACGCGTTCCGCGATTTCTATAGCGCAGAAAGCTGTCGAGCGCAGAGAGAATTCGCCCTTAATCAACGGTACCGGTATCGATGACCGCGTAGGTTGCGTTTTATTCAGAAATTCCGGTCGCTTTGCACGATTTACTCGAAAAGTGTCGGCTTTACAAAATGATCCTGGGACTCGATTAACGCGCACCGAGAGCCGCGCGCGCGCGCGCGAAACGAACGCGGAAGTAGGCTGAACGTCTCGCGAGATTATAATTCCGATTGTAAATTCAGCAGGCTAACCCCGGGACGGGGCACCTCGGCGAGTTTTTCATGATCGGAGTTCACACGAAGGCGGAATTAATCTTGGTTATTTTCGAATCGTCAGCCTGCCTGCGGCGATCGAGCGAGCCCCGTCTGCGCGGAAGAGCGTTATAAGCCGGGAAAACGCGTTAAAAGGAGACTTCGCCTCGGAGGGGCGAGCCCCGGCCAAATATCGAAGGCGATTACAGCGGCTCGGGAGCCCTCTTTGGGGCTCGGTGGCCGTATAAGCCGGCCTGCGGATCCGCCTCGATAATTTAGGGAAATGAATTCGGATCGCGGCGGCTGTTTAACTATCGACAACTTGGCGGCTCCGTGAAATAGGATCGCCTCTTCCTCGTGGAATTATTGAGTGGTGGTCTTACGTACCTGGGCGGCGCGAGGTCGTCGGCAGCCTCTTCGAGAACGACGGCGCTGTCGCCGTCACCGAGGCTGTCCAATCTATCGAGGGCGTCGCAAGGCGGCGAGTCCCTGGTCCCGGTCGACCTTTCCGCCAATCTGCTCTGCAATTGCTGTATCATCCTCTGCTGTCTGAGGATAATGGACTCCCGTTGCGTCAAGCTAGCCTCGATCTCCTTCTGCTTCCGGCAGAGCCTCGACTCGAACAGCAGCAGCTGCGATGACAGCGTCCGGAGCTGCTCGGCCTTCTCTCTCGTCAGCCGGGCCACCAGGTCCTCCTGAAACCCCAATTTATCCGGTGAGGGAACCCGGTCCGTGCGCCGATTTATTTATTCAACGAGCTCTTATTAGCAGCCCCGCGATAATTAACCCGTTAAGCCGCGCTTCCACCGGCTTGGCTCTCGTCGAGCGTGCCGCGCGGCTTTGCTTCCATCGATCGGGCGTGCCGCGCGGCATGCGAACGCGGTGGTCGATGCCGCGCGGCTCGAATAACCCATGGAATTTGTCGATCGATTGTGCCGCGCGGCTTGGCTTTCATCGATCGGGCGTGCCGCGCGGCATGCGAACGCGGTGGTCGATGCCGCGCGGCTCGAATAACCCATGGAATTTGTCGATCGATTGTGCCGCGCGGCTTGGCTTTCATCGATCGGGCGTGCCGCGCGGCATGCGAACGCGGTGGTCGATGCCGCGCGGCTCGAATAACCCATGGAATTTGTCGATCGATTGTNTTTGTCGATCGGGCGTGCCGCGCGGCATCGACCACCGCGTTCGCATGCCGCGCGGCCGGCTCGGTCGATGCCGATCGGCTCGAAAAGCCCGCGGAATTTGTCGATCGAGCGATTTTCGGCTTCGTCGCTCCTCCTCTCGCGTTATCGGAGGTCGATAAACGAACTTCGGCTGCTGTCCGTACTGTCGAACTTCTGCGATCGCGGGCAGCACGTCGTTGACCCGTCGTTGACCTTTGTCATCGTCTTCGGCCAACATCGATCGCTGCCTGTGATTACAGCAGGGACAGCGGACTGCGGCAGAAATCGGCCGCGTCTTTTTCTCGAAGAATGGTGCATTCGTTCTACTTCCGACACTTGAAACTTTACTTCGAAGGCGACTTTATTTGCTCGGATTTGTTCGTAATGAAAATGGTGACCGATATCGTCGCGAAGATACGAACTTCATTTTTATGAAACTGTATTCTTTTCGTCAATTGATATACGGCATTGCATACGAGCTAGCAGTATTTTTCGAGAGTATTTTAGGATTTCATTTTGTCCCGGATTCTACTTTAGAACAGAAACCGTTCCTCGCGCCGATCGTTTGGCCTCGCTTGGCACGATTTCCTTCGATCTTTTCCTTCGACATCGTATGGAAAACGAGTCGGCATAGCGTTTGGCTTTTCAAGTGGCATCGTACCCCTCTCAAATGACGCAGTGGACGCAGTGGAAACGCGGATTTTCCAAGGATAAATTCGTTTGGTCGACAAAGCCGCGCGGCGAGGCCGCGTGGCGAGGCCAAGCCAGAGCAACGAGCCTTTACGCGGCCGAGAGCCGCGAACACAAATCGATAAAAACAACGTTGTTCTCGCCACTTTTTTTTCCATCGACGCGATGGCTCGACGAATCAGAGTCGGACAACGCGTGTGATCCGATCGAGCGTTTCGATTTCATTCGGAAAGACGGCAAGGCGGCTTAACGAGTGAGCGTCTGGTCCAGGATTAGCCATTAACGGAGCCTTCAGAGGCGGCGTCCGGGAGCTAGTTAACCCGGTGACTTTCCGTCGATATTCAGGCAATTAATAACATAGATTAGTCGGGGGAAGCTTTCTTCCACCCGCGTGTCGGATCGCAGTCACTCGGCGACGATTAATCACGGCCGTTCGTTATCGATAACAGGCAAATGGAAATTACTCGGCGATTTCTTGCCGTTCAGTCTACTTTTTCCCTCTTTCTCTCTTTGTCTCTCTCTCTTGCTCTCTTGCTCTATTTTTCTTTGTCTCTTGCTCTCTTGCTCTATTTCCCTCCCTCTTGTTCTCTTGCTCTATTTTCTCTCTCCTCTGTTCTATTATCTTTCTCTCTTGCTTTGTTTCTCTCTCTCTCTCTCTTGCTCCCTTGCTCTATTTTTCTCTCTCCCTTGCTCTCTTGCTCTATTTTCCCCCTCTCTCGCGCTCTCTTGCTCTATTTCTCTCTCTCTCTCTCTCTCTCTTGCTCTATTTTTCTCCCTCTTTTGCTCTCTTGCTCGATTTTTTCTCTCTCTCTCTCTCTCTCTCTCTCTTGCTCTATTTTTCTCCCTCTTTTGCTCTCTTGCTCGATTTTTTCTCTCTCTCTCTCTCTCTCTCTCTCTTGCTCTATTTTTCTCCCTCTTTTGCTCTCTTGCTCGATTTATTTCTCTCTCTCTCTCTCTCTCTCTGCTCTCTTGCTCTATTTTTTCTCGCTCTCTTGCTCTCTTGCTTTCTTTCTCTCTCTTCCTTTCTCTCTTTCACCCTCTCTTGCTCTTTTCCTCTCTTTCCCCCCTCTCTCTCTTGCCCTCTTGCTTCCTTTCTCTCTCTCTTTTTCTCTCTTTTTCTCTTTCTTACTCTTTCTCTCTCTCTCTCTCCCTCTCTCTCTCTCTTTCGCGAAACTGCAGCAAAAAGCCTGCAGAACGAAAAAACGATCGACATTGGAGCGTTTTGCCGCAGAAAATCGACGGAAGAAATGACCAGTGTGCGCGTGTGCGTGCCTATCGCATACACACGCACGAGAGCGTTACGCTCGCAGAGGCGTACGCTTAAGAACGGTGTTTACGTGTGCGGGCAAGCAACGGCACACGAATTCACCGGTCCCCGGTAATTAGTCCGAAGATCGTATCGATGAACGGGAAGCAAAGCGAACGCGGCCGTGGCCCCCGACCGTCACTGTAATGCATCCTCGATCTGACCGTAATTTGGAATTAATTAGGAAGCCCGGAGGGTTTGCGCAAACCGCATTAAGCGCGCCACGCCGGGCCAGGCACGGCCGCTCTATTGCACCCGTTACTCTCTCGCTTCGATTGAGTGAGCGAATTCCAAATACAACGAAATGAACCGAAAACCCTGTCCGCAACCAACCCAATAATGCAATCGAGCGCGGGCCTGTTACGCTCTTCGTTGTCGAAGTTTTCCTCTCCGGCGGTTAAATTCGCCGCCGGTTTTTCCGTTATACAACGACGCGCGGGTCTTCGAACGTACGAGAAAAAAAGAGAAGACCGGTTTCCCGCGTCGGAAGATCGTCCCAAATACAGTAAATTCTCCCTAATTGAGCCTCGGCTTGGAAACAAAATTGGACGATTTGGGAGGACGAGGCACGAATAATCGCGTCTCCCCTTTCCGAATCGTCCGTTTTCGTGCACGATCTCGGCGTCAATTAGGCAGAATTTACTGTACGCTTTATTGTAATGCGAAAGATGAAGCTTGCACAGATCGTGCAGCATCGGACAGAACAAAATTCCAGCGGATAACTGTGACTGAAAAAATAAGCTCGCGGCTCGTTTTTATGGTCATCGATCGTCAACGATTATAAAAAGCCGAGCCGCCGAGGCTCGAATAATCGCGTCTCCCCTTTCCGAATCGTCCGTTTTCGTGCACGATCTCGGCGTCAATTAGGCAGAATTTACTGTACGCTTTATTGTAATGCGAAAGATGAAGCTTGCACAGATCGTGCAGCATCGGACAGAACAAAATTCCAGCGGATAACTGTGACCGTCGGAAACTGTAGAACCGATGAACCGCGGACGCAATTTTCCCTGAAAAAAATAAGCTCGCGGCTCGTTTTGATGGTCACCGATTGTCAACGATTATAAAATGCCGAACTGCCGAGGCTCGAATAATCGTATCGCCTCTTGCTAAATTGTCCATTTTTGTGTACAAGCGGAGGGTCAATCAGGGAGAATTTAGTATACACACGCTATTCAACAGAAATTTCGAAGCGCGACGTCCTCAACTTATGAGAAATTTAATTTTAAAATTTAAATAAAAATTCGTAAACATTGAACATTTCCTCTGCTCCGACCGCGAGAATTGCGCGAACGATTTTCGGCTGTAATTCTGCAGGTTCGATGAAATTTAACAGGATATTTTCGATATTTTGAAAGGACATTTCGTTCAAGTTTTTCACGCAGCGCGCGTAATCAACGAGTTTCATTTTCATTCGCAGATTAAAATCGGACGATGCTGCGCGGTTTCTATCGAAAATTTATTACAGCATCATGTTCAAGCACGCGCGCATAAAAATTTGTTATTCGCGCAGCCGACCGCACAGTTATTCTCGTTCTGCCGGCGCGCGCGCCCCGAGAATGGAGGCATTTTCTTATCGTGTTATTCTTCCGGGACCCGAGAAACAGTTCGCGTGTCCCGAACTGTCGGAGAAATATGGTCGCCAGAAGCTGTTTTCCGTGGCCGAAGGATTCGGGTCGATCATCCGCGCCTCGAAAACGGCGTAGAACCTCCCCCGCGCCGTTGCACGTTCGACGCCGAAATGGTTTGTCGCTTTTGTCTAGGTTCCGCGTGCAGAAAAAAAGGAGAATAAAAAAAAGCGAAAACAGAAAAAATGAAAAGAGAACGCGCGGCACGGCGAAGCGGGACTCGGCGCGAAAGAATGCACAATGCGCGTCGCGTGGCCATTTTGCGGGACTGGCATTTACACGAGACAAAGCCGGGAGTAATGGACTCGGGTTGTTTACGTCACCGAGAAGGAAACCAGACGTCCAGACGAAAATGCAGAAAATGCAAAGTAGCCTGGAACGGTAGCGATCCCCACGAACAGCAGCAACGGCGCGTGACGACGCGCACGTTGGGCTCCTTCTGCTTTTCGACGATTACCGCGGAGAACCGTTCTGGACCGAGCACGACAGAGATCTCGGAAGTATTCGCGATGCATGTTGGGGACGCGTCGTTCGCCACGGATGCTTCAAATCTTTTCGTTTTCTTTCTTCAATTAACCCCGTCGAGTGACGCCGCTAACTTTTCACTTGCCTTTGGAATTTATCCTCGTTGCGATGTGTTGGGGCATACTGAACGTTTTTAGGATTTTTAGAAAGTGAAAGAGTTATTATATTATTATATTATTATATTATATTATTATATACTATTATACTATTATACTATTATACTATTATATTATTATACTATTATACCTGTCTCTTATACACATCTAGATGTGTATAAGAGACAGATATTATTATATTATTATATTATTATATTATTGTACTATTATACTATTATACCTGTCTCTTATACACATCTAGATGTGTATAAGAGACAGATATTATTATAT